ACACATTAATCCTAAGCTTGTCCATTAACCCATGAAAACTACTTGTTAAGATTTCTTACACTAAAAGTTTTAAAATATGATGGTAATAAAATTGAATTTTTGTTTTCAACTTTGTGGTAAACTTATGGAAAATGTATTTATTGGGAGGCAATTTTCTGATATGGATATCTGTAGAGAAACCACACAGAAATCCTGGCAAAGCAAGATGAATGCTAATACTACAGCAATAGTATACTGCATAGTATACCAATAGTCTAGGATATGATGGCACAAGAAATCTCTTTCGAAAGTATAATTAGTAAGATTGGGATGGATTAGTGCAGTGAGAGACAAAGGGATAGCAAAGATGAGTTTGCTTTTGGATACGTTGCCTGTGAGATACTTACAGTGCATCCAAGTGAACTGTGTGGCAAGAAGTTGAGTACACCAACCTAAGACTTCTATATGTGACTAAAGCTATTACCACAGATGAGATAATTCAGGGAGATGGTGAAGAGTTAGAAATGGCAGGCTACAAAGAAAGCTGAGGAAAAATCATATTTTTTTTCCTCTCTCATTGAGTTTATTGGTACATTTAGGTGTATAGTACAGTTACATTCATCACTGGGATTTTGTACCTTTACAAGACAGGTCTTGACTCTCATTTCCCCCCTTTCTCTGCCCTCCTTTCACCCCCTCCTCCCTTCCCTATTTACAAATACTTTATTTCCACTTTCTCATATTTTTTTCTTTCCCTTATTTCCTTTTCCCTACCCTTCCCACTTCCCCTACACCTTTAGCCCTTTTCTTCCTATTTCACATTGTCAATTACATCATTAGGATCTTATGTACCATTACAGTCTCTCACACCAGAGAAACTATTCAGTATTTACAGATGTGTGTCTTATTTATTTCAGTTAGGGGTATACCCTCAATATGTATCAATTTTCCTATTAATGACTCTAATTTCTCATTCTTTATGGCTGAGTAGTATTCCAGTTCATAGAAAAACCACATCTTCTTTATCCAGTTTCCAACTGATGGCAAATGGACTACTTCCAAGTTTTACCTATTACAAACTGTCACTATAAACATAGGTGTATGTACATCACTGTGATGTGATTTTTTTAATTCTTTTGGAAAGATACCCAGCAGAGGGATGGCTGGGTCAAATGGAAGCTCTACTCCCAGCTCTTTGAGGTATCTCCATATTGATTTCCATAGTGAGTGCACCAATCTGCACTCCAACCAACAATGGAGAAGGGTTCCTTTCTCCCCACAGCCCCACCAACATTTGTTATTGTTTCATTTCTTGATAGCAGCCATTCTTTGTGGGGTGAGGAGGAATCTCAGTGTTGTTTTCATCTCCATTTCAGAATGACCAGTGATGTGGAACATTTTTCCATATATTTACTTGATGCTTTTACTTCTTTGTCTGAGTAAAAAAATAATATTTAAGAGTCTTTGAAGAAATAAAAGCCTTAAAAGAAAACTGAGAAAAGCTGTATTCATAGAATCAGTCAGATATGTAGGACAGAGAGAGGCCACAGAGAATAAACAGCGACAGCCTCAAGAATAATGTGTTTATACAAGGTCAAATAAAAATAAGCTCAGCACAGTTTCCATTCCATATGACAATTAACTGGTCTGGCAGTCTTGGTGTAAGCAGTTTTCCCAAAATAGTTGGGGAAGAAATCCAATTAAACCAGGTTGAGGAGGGCATGAAAACTGTTGAAGTAAAGGTAGTATAATGATGAAGAATAATTTAGGAGTTTGACTCAAAGAAGAATGCACAAGAAAAGGCAGCAGGTAGACCAAGATAATTTGGGGAGGAGTGTGTGTGTGTGTGTGTGTGTGTCTGTGTGTGTGTGTTTCTGTTTAGGGCTGAAAGAGAAGCGAGTTTGTACTGTGGGGAATGATGCTGGACTTAAACAGAATGAATAGAGCAGATTGCAAAATAGATTGAGGACCTTTAGGGAGATAACATGTTAGGACACAAATTGCCAACCCAACGGATATCTAAGCCTTACATAGGGGAGAAGGGCTCCATGTCTCCTGTGAATTGGAAAATTGGTGAATTATTTGAATTGCAAAAGCAGTTGAGAATAATTATGGGATAGCATGTGAGGGGGAGTTGAAAGTCTTATTCCTGATTACAACTTTTTTTTTCCTAAGCGGTATAAAGGAGAAGTGATATTTTTGAAAGAAGCATGAAAAATGCAAGAAAAACAATCCAGAAGCCCAAGTTTAAAGTTGGAGACAACTGACTGGTATTCACCAATTCAAAGTTTTCTTCAGTACTGTTAGACACCTGCATAAAAATAGTGGTTCACATGGGATCGGGGTCTAGTTAAGCAGGAATGACAGAAGGACAAAGGGCAAGGGGGCTCACAATGGGTTCCAGATAAATAGGGCAGAAAAGGATTCAGGAGAAACCAGATCTGTAGGAGAGTGAGATTGTGAATGAGCACAAAAGTAAGTTTGTTTTTGGAAAACACTGGATTTATAGATTTCTGATATGGAGCAATTCTTTGCAGTTTGTCCTTGGAATACGAAGTAGAGGAATGACTTCAGATTGAGGAAGTCAAAGGATTCTGAGGCCCAGAAGTAGATATGTATGAATACCAAAACACTCAGCATCATGAGGATAACTTAGGTTGAGGGAGAAAATTGAGCCAGAGCAGGATCTTAACAGGTAGAGAGAAGAAATGTTAGTATATACAATCCTGCATTATCTGTGTTTGAGAGGTAAGGCAGCTTCCTTTTCAGATGTGGTTCTGTAACATACCTTTTCTTCTCTTTTTGGTATTGGATATTGAACCTATGGCCTTGTACAAGTTGTGCCATTGAGCTACAATACCAGCTCTTGTTCTATAATACCCTTGGAGAAGAAAACAATTTCAATATGAAAAGAGGAGCAGGAAGCATCCCGTCAGTATTTTAAAAATAAGGAAATTTGTTAATTGTAAGAGTGCCTTTACAAAGTAGAGAGAAAAGGTTTGGAAATATGAGTAAAACTCTAGTGGTTAAAAAAAAAAGTTCCCCGCAAACAATTTAACTTTTAAAGACTATATTTTCTGGACTCGCCCAGAAAGCCTTGTTTGCACAGCACCCATTAGCCTCTTACAGAAGCAGTGCTGTGTGGACTGCAGTTAGGAAACACTGGCTGAGCAGTCAAGGAGAGTTTTCCACGACGGAACCGGTGCCAAGTCACGGTGAACACATCTCTACAGGTATCTGGAGGGCAGAGTTTGGACAAAAATGAGCCGGCTGCAAGACCACCCATTTGGTTGAGTTTTTATTTATGACCATTTGCCTTTCAACTGAGCTACATCGAGAGCTGTGTGAAATCAACAGTTATAATTTTCTTGCATCTCTACAACATTTATAATAAATGCTAAATAAATATTTTGTTCCATTGATGCTTGCAAGGGAGAAAGAAACAAAAAATACAACGTGGTTTTAAATGTCTCTCTTCTATCTTTGTCAATAATTTATTTTGTCTTTTAAGTTTTTAATGTAATATTAAAACCCAAATGTGTTGGTGCTTCTGTGAATTTTTAATAATAGCGATTACTTCCACCTTTCAATAAATCATGCACCTACATTCATAATATTGATGGAATGATCTCTAACTCAAAGAGCTCAAAAAGACTATTTGAAATTGTTGATTAATGTCGTAGCTTTTCTAGTTAATTACTGGAAGAGATTCAAATGAAAAAATAGGAAAGATTTGAAAAATATGTAGCTAATTCATTGAAAGGAGATTTTTTCAAAGTAAAACTTTCAAAAATTACTTAAAGTATGAAATACATATGAGGCTAACCAAAAAGTATTACAGTTATCAGGAATTTTTCTTTGAGATTTCTATAATTACTTTATATAATACAGTAAACTTAGCAATATGTATACAAAATAACATAGTACAAATGCACATAGAAATGGAAGAACTTAATATAAAATATTGAGTACAATTTTTTTATACTTATTGTTACACAAAAGGTAAAGAGAAAGATTTGGATATTTGCTTAAATTTTTAAAAGATAAAAGCAAATTACTATGACTTCCCACTATGGTATATAAAAGCAAAGTTATAAAATGGTTGTGAATTATAACATTTGATCATTATATAACTATTCTATAGTTATTGTACTTGTATTTTTAAGAAATTTCCTTGTTTTATGTCATACATTTATTACTACTTTCCAATATGGGTAATTGTCATTATTAGCTCAGCACAAGAACAAACTAAACATACTCTTAGAAACTTCGAGTCTCTGGACTGATTGTTATACTGTCTTCCAACATTAGTGGGGCTGCAGTTATTCAAAGCAGAATTCCAAAGCATGTTGCTGAGCTCTGCTTCCTTTAATAATGCAGTTTCAGAGTGTAATATAAACCCAGAGTTGCATTGGACCTTGCCAGTCCACTTTTATCACTACGGAGATGAGAAAACAGATGTTGAGAAATACACTGGTGTGAAAGAACATATACAATCCCTATCCCGAGGAAGACACAGTGTCTAAGAGAACCCCAGGTAGCTACATGCACGAGGAACCTTACTGCCACTGCCACCTGCAACACTTCAGTTTCAAATTGGTTGATTTGGGGAACAATGCTTGATAAAACTTTGTAATCATGAAAAATTGTCTCACATTTTCTGGTCTCGGGACTTAGTTTAGCACACTGTGTCGAACTTGTTTTTTTTTTTCTTCCTCTTAGTCTCCCTTTGTAGTTTCAGTAAAAACATTTGTTTTAACTGTTTCTTTCGTCAGGCTGAGAGGTAAAGCACATTGAAGCTAAACTAGTCTTGCCATGTATTTACAAGGAAAGAAGATAACTTTCCCTTAAAGCCTAGAAAGCAAAAGACCTATAGTAGAATGGCTTAGTCAACTTTTGTTTCTACTTTGAAGAAACATTTCTGATTTAAGGGTTTCGAATTTCACAGTCTTGTTCCCCATAATATATAGTTCATAATTTAACACTATTGGATATTTCAATGACTGTTTTTAATTATTTAGGCTTCAAGGAGACAACCTGGCAGAAAGGACAGAACAGACATTACAAATATTTCATTCTCCAGATGAAATAATTCCAGATTCATTGGGTAAGTTTTAAACCCAAGAATATTTATCGTATCTTTAGTGGCACTTAATGATTTGAAAACAAGAGCGAAATTAAACTAGACATTTTCTCTTGCACCACATCATTGTCAGCAGAGTCATGTGCTCACCACCAGCACACTTCTTCAGGCTGTGTGCCGGGAGGTTAAGAGCAAAGGGGAGAAGGAAGCAGGAAATGTGGATTCTCAGGACTGGCAACTGTCTTTCGGCTGCTCCCAAGACTTCGTCACTAATTAAACTAGTTTTCAGACCTTTACTTTGCATATTTACTCTATAGAAAATGAAACTTGTTATCTGCCCCTTGACATTTGAATAACTTTGACTTCGATTCTCAGATCATTGATAAATTCCATATTCTTAGGGAGAAATATCAATACCATACTTGAAAATACCATATACCTTTTCCTTCCTGCTTGTATTGAGTTGGTGTTGAATTATGGTCAATGCCACCTCGGAATTTCCTTTGTAAGTCTGCCTCTTTTTCATTTTTCCTGTTAGTATCTGGCCTATGCTTTCCTCTTCGTTCTCCATCCAGTATAACAACCTACTTTCTCCCTCTTTGCACTGTCCCAGTCCACTTTTTGTTCACTATCTTTCTGAAGATAAAGCTTTAGTATATGCTCATCTTCCGTAAGATAAATTTCAAAGTCTGTACTTATGATGTTAATGTCAGAGCACTTCAAAATGTTTGCTGAATAAGTACACAATTGCACGAAATGCACAACCAGGAACATCTACGATGCATCACTTCCTCATCAGTCACTGTGCTAGCAGGACGGTCAGTACCACTAATCAGGACAGCTAGAAACCACAGGAGAATGTTTTCCCTGAACCTGGATGGAGAAGGACATCCCAAATAAGACACAAAAATTTCTAACCATAAGGAATATAATGAAACAATATTACGCTGTACAATTTACAAAGCTTGAAAATGGAGTTTTGAATGTTTTATACCATAGAGAAACAATAAGCAAGGAGCTAGATATGTTCAATCTGATGTTAAGATGACACAATATGCATATGTATTGCAATATCCCATGACAACTTAATAATATATAGAATTTTAAAAGTTTTATCAGTTAAAATAAGTTTGATTTTAAAATTGTCTATTTTTATAAAAAATAAAAATTCAACCATATATAATTAACTCTCATACATCAAAATATGTGAGGGAAAAGACAAAAATGGGAAAACATAAACATTAATATTCAAAACATAAAGGAAAAAAATATGAGAAAATGTAAAAATGGAATTAAAGTGCTTGAACGGGGGATGGGAGGGGAGGGTGAAGAGAGGGTGGGGACAAGGGGAAAAAATGAGAACCAAGATCTGGCATGTAAAGGTACAAGATCCCAGTAATGAATGTAGCTGTACTGTCTACCTAGAATGTACCAATAAATTAAATTTTAAAAATATTCGAAACATTGTGATCCTACAATTTAATAAAGGTCAATAAATCCATAGATAAATAAATGACAAGCGAAAGTAGATATTTAGCAGAATAGAAAATAAGAAGGTACAATAAGCATATTATCTATGACTTACTACTCTACTAATGAGAGAAAGGCAGATTCAGACTGTGGTGAGACAATTGTTTTGTAACCAGTTATGTGGCATTAATTAAGAAAGCTGGCAAAACCGCAGATAGTGAAGACAAAGATGAAAGAAATTTCGAACACTAGGCAGGATATAAATAATATTGGGAAAGTTTTACATTATCTTAAAATCTTAAGCATTTATAAGGTCTGATCTAAATATATGGTGACTACTATAGTAAAAGACACATTGCCACTATTCCCTCTCAAAGTACTCCCTGTTCAGTTCAAACACACGTATCCTGATCTTGCTGCTTTCTGAAGCAGTTCTGGAGTCCTCTTTTTATGAGCATCTTTTGCAGGGTGTGATTAAAAATACAGCGAATGCTGTTTGCAGAGCCATTTAATGGAAATTCAGGTTCATAAAAAAGTCACAACGTGTCCTCATTCACCTTATTCATTCGATTCGGCACTGAGAAACTTTCGCTCTTCTTCAAAGTCAAAATGACCATAAAAGGTAAAAGTTGTGAATTACTTGAGGACATCAGAGAAGCTAGGATAGTGCGACTGAAGACATGAAAGAGAACTTCTCAAACCGCTTCAGAAAGTGGTAAGAACTATGGGATAATTACATTCAAAGCAAGGGAGAATATTTATAGGGTGATTAATAGCAGTGTGTCCTTTTCTGTAACAAACTTTTAAAAATTTAAACACAGTAGTTTTTGATCACACCATATGTACAATGCAAAGAAATTTTAGCAATACCAGCTTCATGTACCTTGAAATCTGAACAAGCCTTTATTGGTTCATGAATAGAGAAATTAACACATTGTGAAACTCTTACACTGTAGGGAGATAAATACATTTCAAACAAACACTTAGGATGGATAAAATAGAAACATGGTGGTATATGTTTAACCCTTTTTCTGAAAATATAGGAGACTGATTTCCAGAGACTGATGATTTCCATGGTATCATGGCTGATTTCAAGTGATCAACTTGCAGAGTGGCCTTTGGTTCTCTAAACCAGGTGTGAGCAGATTGTAGCTCGTCACTGAATGAGTAGTAAAAGTATAAAGACTGATTAATCCAAAGCAAGTCATAGAGTGTCATATTTATAAAACTCAAAATGAGCAAATCTTCCTAATATAGTCTTTGGGAAAGCATACATAGGTGATAAAACTATATTAAAATAAGAGAATGATAGACCCCAAGTAATAATATTATTCTCAGGGAGTAAGGGGAATCTGGGAAATGGAATAAGAAGACACTCACAGGCATATTAAGGTTTTTGAAAATGCTCTAATTTTAAAATTAGGTGCTGGGTTTGATGTGTTGATCATTGTGCTTTAAAATTCATATTTATTGTGTATTATACGTTATATAATGTGTTATATATACTTTTATATGTCAAATATTACACTTATATTACAATATCAGACAAATGTAATAAACATTTAAAGATAACTGTTACAGGTATATACATCAATGGCAGAGTAGTATAATGCAAAGAAATAATAGTTTATATATACTCAGATCTGCCATAGTCCCGTGACATGGCCAGTTCTCACGTGGTGCTCTAACCACGGCAATGCAAGTGGAGCGACAAGTTCCCACCATGGCTGGTGGTCCTAGGTTGGCTGGCTGTTGACTCTTCTAGCCTTCTGAATTCAGCCCGATTCCTTTTGGATTTTTTTTCCTTTTATGAAAAAATAAAGCAAAATTTCATAACCAAAATAATAAGAATGCTAATAATTAAAACGCTTTGTCTTGTTACCTTCAAGTAATTACTCAGAAGGGACGGGATTTAGCTCAGTGGTTCGGTGACCTGCCTTGCAGGCGCAAGATCCCGAGTTCAATCCCCGGTACCCCACCCCCAAAAGTAGTTACTCAGAGTGCAAAACATAAGCTGACAAGTTTCTAACTCTCTCTGACCAGGTGTAAGCTACCTTTCCTCCCTCTACCTCTTCAGACACTGCTCTAAGGTCATATTAAGACTCCCTGATATTGACCCCACAAAAATATTCCCTATGGCCCAGCCCCTATTTTTGTATTGCCTCATATATATTGTTTTTTCTCCCTTTAATTGGATTACATGGTTTTTGAGATTTTCTTGTGTTCTCTACCATGACTAATACAAAACTAGCACAAGACACTTTAATAACTTGAACCAATTGTTCAAATTCTATTCAATCTGCTGCAATCCGTCTATTTATATTTAAAAAAATCTGAACCCTAGGAGATAAAATAAGCTGCAGTATTCAAAAGCTATGATTGTGCCAAGTTTCCCATTGTCTCCCTATCTCTTGGTGACCATTAAGAGCTAGAAAGATTTAATGTTCTCATTTTCTTCCCACAGTACATATTTCATAGAAAAGAAAAATCTACCTCCATTTGCACAAGAGTCTAAGTGAAGCTCTTCCTTATGGGTTCATATGGATCTCGGAATAGTAATAAAAATAAGGAAATCAAGTTTAAAATCTAGTAGTTTAAATTACCCTTCTGTATCCTCTTCTGTTACTTGGGACCAAAATATATCAAAATAATGTGGGGTTCTGTTTGTCTCCAGACTATGAACCTTTTTCTTTAGACCTCCATATTTTTCAGGTTTTTTCTAAAATGTTTACTTCATAAAAAAAATTAAAAAGGGAAAAGCAGAAAATATCCTTCTTTAAACTGACTTTTTATTTCAGTAGAAGGAGTTAAATTTAATTAAGGAAGGTTGACAGCGTTTATATGGATCGTTTATAGATACTCCATGCATAAACCCTTACTGCAGACTTCTTTATAACTATAGAAGCCCATGGTGCCATAATTAATTGATTTCAACAGACACATTTCCTATATTTGAAAATCACCACTCCTCACTCTTCTATTCAGGCTAAGTAAACACAACTTCTTGTTTCATACATTGAAATGGAAAACCTGCCACCATTTATTAACAGGCATCCTTCTCTGGACCCAGTTTGCAATTTTTAATCTTATCTAACAAAGAGAACACACATTGATACTTATTTTATATAACATTTAAAGAGTAGACAATTGATGAATAAAGTGATAATCATATGAATTTACAGTAATTAGAAGAATGGAGACTGGGACTGTAGCTTGCGGTAGAGCACTTAAGATGTGTAAGGTGCTGGGTTCAACTTTCATCACTAAAAAAATATAGGACTGCTCATCAGTTTCATAAATTGCCTTTAAGATAAATAAATGTCACCGGGCACTGTATTTTAATCACAAACACATGCTTTTTCAACAACAATTAAATCACTTTAATATCCTTTTCACCAACACATTTATGTATCACAGAATTAATAAGCAATAATGAGGATATACTCTATCCTTTTTTGAAAATTGAAATAGATTCGTTACCTGGGACTGAAGAAGCACTGATGGAAGAGGTTGAGGATTTTGAGAAAGCATCTAAATTAACAGCACCTGTAAGTATATGCATTTATTTATTTTTAATTTCTAAAATAAAGTATGCCACTAGTGGGATAATCTATAAGGAGTAGGAAGTAACATTCTTTTAAGAATATTTAAAAATGTGCATACAGTATCCTCTATATAGTTACAGGTTGCTTGTATCAGGGTAATACCCTCTGTATTACAATTGTATCATAAGACTGTGTTAGGCTCTATGTGCAATTGCGGAATACTTCACTGAGATAGGGAAAGTGAATTTCTGGTATGATTAGCTGCTTACTTGTGCATATATGTGTGTGTGTGTGTGTGTGTGTGTGTGTTTATGTGTGTTTGTCAAGGGGAATTCATGAGATAAATGCAAACTACCTTTGACCTCTACAATTACAAGAAGTGCTCAAAGTGGTGGTCATGAGCTTCCAGACCTTTATTGGTACACTGAGCTGCTGCTTGGGTAACCTTGGTCATTGGGATGGCTTCACATGCATTTTCAATTTCTTCTCTAAGGACCAGCAGTGTAGTGGGTTTTCTGTGATATATGACATCTTCTAGGGTCCCCCATATGAAGTAACACCCATCTGTTGAAAAAAACATCATACTATTTTTCTTTTCCCAGAGTGTGTATATATTTTTGGTAGACTCCCTCTTTATTATGTGTTTTGCGAATCCTAAAAATTTACATAGTATTTATACATACTCTCTTTTGAGTTGTGTAGTCCATTAGATTCATGATTTTAATGAAATTCAAGCTTAAAAGAATACAGAATAGCTGAAACTTCCATATAAATTCTAAATGCAATATCTACTAAAGATTCTGAGTGCCCTAAAACTCATGCTAATGAAATCCTATACTTTCTTAAACATAATATTTAAACTGTATTCATATAGTATTTCCACATTCTCTGTGTTAGTTTGCTTGGGCTGCCATAACATAGTCCATAATAAACAACAGAAATACATTTTTCACATTTCTAAATGCAGATGTGTTGGCAAGGTTGATTTCTGCAGAGACTTCTTTCCTGGCCTTGCAGGTGGCTGTCCTCTCTCTGTCTCTCCACAGATTCTTCCACATATAAGTGCTTGTCTCTTAATCTCTTTATGGTCAGTGATACATCCCCTGGTATCACCAGTGATGCTGGATTTGGGCCCACTGTAGGATCACATTTAAAGACGCTATCTTCAAACACATTCTGAAATACTGGGGCTAGGACCTCAATACATGAGTTTTAATTGTATGGAATTCAAGTCACACCATTCTGTGAAGTTACATTACTTGATATATGGCTTGAGTTGAAGGATTTTAAGGACACCCTGTTTTCTTTCTTTCTTGTTTTTCCCCTTTTTATTGACTGTATTGGTGCATTCTAGGTATACAGTACAGCTACATTCATTACTGGAATCTTGTACCTTTACATGACAGGTCTTGGTTCTCATTTTTTCCCCTTCTCCCTGCCCTCCTTTCACCCCCTCTTCCCCTCCCCCTTTACAAACACTTCATTTCCATTTTTTCGTTTTCTCATATGTTTTTCTTTTCCCTTATTACCTTTCCCCTACCCTTCCCACTTTCCCTATACCTTTAGCCCTTTTCTTCTTATTTTACATTGTTAATTATCTCATTAGGATCTTGTGTACTATTATAGTTTTTTACACCAGAGAAACTTCAGTATATACACATGTGTGACTTATTTATTTCACTTAGGAGTATATCCTCACTTAGGAGTATATCCATTTTCCCATGAATGACTCAAATTTCTCATTCTTTATGGCTGAATAGTATTCCATTTTACAGAAAAACCACATCTTTATCCAGTTTGCAACTGATGGGCAAATGGGCTGTTTCCAAGTTTTAGCTATTACAAACTGAGCTGCTATCAACATAGCTGCGCATATGTCACTGTGATATGATTCTTTTAATTCTTTTGGAAAGATACCCAGCAGAGCTATGCCTGGGTCAAATGGAACCTCTAGCCCCAGCTCTTTGAGGTATCTCTGTATTGATTTCCATAGTGGTTGCACCAGTCTGCACTCCCACCAACAATGAAGGAGGGTTCTCTTCTCCCCACAACTCCACCAACATCTGTTATTGTTTCATTTCTTGATAGCAGCCATTCTTTGTGGGGTGAGGTGAAATCTCAGTGTTGTTTTCATCTGCAACTCTTGAATGACCAGTGATGTGGAACATTTTTTCATATATTTACTTGCTGCTTTTATGTCTTTGTCTGAGAAATGTCTGTTCATTTCAGATACCCATTTTTGAATTGGGTCTTTATATTTGGTTGGGCTGATTGTTTTTAGTTCTTTATATATTCTGGATAGTAGTCCTTTTTATAAGGAGCAGCCAGTAAAAATTTTTTCCCACATTTTAGGTTGTCTCTTAGTTCTGTTGATGGTTTCTTTAGCAGTGCAGAAGCTTTTTAATAACATGAAATCCCAGTTGTTGATTCTTTCTGCTAGTTTCCGAGCTACTGAGGATTTGTTCATAAAGTCTTTTCCTATGCCAATGTCTTCCAGAGTTCTGCCTAACTTATCTTCCAGCAAGTTTAGTGTTTCTGTTTTAATATTTAGATCTTTAATCCACTTGGATTTTAATTTAGTGCATGGTGAGAGATAAGGGTCTAGTTTTAATCTTTGGCATCCTGGGATCCAGTTTTTCCAACACCATTTATTAAAGAGGCTATCCTTCCTCCAGTGGGGATGGTCAACTCCTTTGTCAAAGATGAAGTAGCTGAGTACATCTAGAGTTGTTTTGGTAGGACACCCTGTTTTCTATCGGACTTCTTAGTAAAACTGATTCTAAAAATTCCTGATGAAATTAGTGTATCTTTCCTCACCTGTCACTTTCTCATTGTAGCTTCCCTTCATTTTTCTTGATAGCACTTGACAGCTCTGCTATGCTGCATAATTTAATTATGTGTTATGTATATTGCCTGTCTCCTTCTATCATAATATGTGATCTATAAGGACAAGAATTTGTGTCCATTGTTTTTTATTTAGAAGTATATCCTAGAAGTGTACCTATCCATGGCAGTCCCATTGTTACCTATCTGTTGAATGAATGACATAGCTTAGCAATAATTCCTTACCATTAAATGAAAAATATTATATTTCCCCTTATTATAAACTGATGAAACCTTAGGAATAGGACCATGGTGACCATGTAGTTCAGCAACTTTCCTCCTTATCTTAGAATTCCAAGTTACTGCGCATTTTCATTTCGTGCTAGGAGATCCATTTCATAGGGAAGAAAACAGCTCAAAGAAGGTCAGCAGCTAGACCAAAGTCTCAAAGCTAAAGGAGCAATGAGGTCAGAAATTGACCACTGATAAATTTTCTTTCTGCTGTATATCTTGAATATTTCTTATGTGGATTTCCGTATTCTCCCCCTCAAGGAAAACTTTCCCACAGTTTACTCCCATGTAAGATTTTTTTTTTTTTTTTTTTTTTTTTTTTTTTTTTTTCTCACAGCTGCTTGTGGCCATCGATCCTAGTTCCACTCCTGGAGTGATAGCTTAAATCAGCTCCTCTTTCACTTAAGTCATCTTCAGATATTAGAGGCTGTCAGCATGTACCATCTAAGACTTAAATTTTTCAGTCAGCACCCAATCCATTCCTTCAACCAATTATTACACTGTGTAGTTTTCAAGTAATTTAGTACCTCTGGTATTTTCTCTGAATGTATTCTTGTCTGCCAAGTCCCTTATAAAATACGAGCTATGCCACAGCCAAATCCACAATTCCAAATAATGTTCCCACATCAGAGTACAATTGAATATGTGCCTGGGACAAATATTATTTTTGGATTATAATCTAGGGTTACATTAACTTTTCTGAAGGAACATTCTGGCATTTATAAACTTCAGTATGTGTCCACAGTCTCTTGGTGATAAATACTCTTTGTCATTCGGGCTGAGATGACCTATCATTCATCACAGTTTGTAAAGGTTTGTTTTATCAGCTGTGAATTCCACCAAAGTTCAAACTTCTTTCTCATGTCTAAAAGATGTATGTTTTCTGATCATTTACTCAAATCAAGATATATCCTGGCCATAGTTTTTGATTTGCTTAATAATACCTAATAATCCAAAGGGGGGAGAAGAAAAAATTAATCAATTTTTTTTGTGTGAATGATTTCAAATTGGCTCTTAAAGATTTTGCGTTCTTTCCACAATGCTCACATAATGCTTTCCTTGTGCAAATATTTTTGGAGGTCAATTTTATTTATTTTCACTTATCATTTATTAGTTGGAATTCTTGAAAATTCTTTAATTCCATTTAATTTCAAATTATCTATTTAAATCTCTTTGGCAATAAGTGGCTTAAAATAACACAGATCAATAAATTATTTCAGGTCCCTCAAACATGGTGACTTTTAGATGTTAGATGCTTTAATTATAAGGAAAACACGGGTACTCTTAAAAGTTAATTATTTTAGAATAATTAAACTTTAGATTCCCTAAATATTCCTTTAAATTGTTCCTGTAATAATTTTGGGATAATATTTTTAGTACATCAAAAGGCAAATGTCATTTTAAGTGTTAATGGAGAACTGGAGCAAAAGAATTTTTTATTATAGTAAGAAACAAAATATTTCCAAATAAGTTTTGAGTCATATCCTGCAAAAATATAAACATGACTCTAATACTGAAAGCGATTTAAAGAAGTTTCAACACATGTTGCCTCCATTTGCTGACATCCCCTGCTGGGTATTGTGCATTAATATGTGGCTAGCAGACTCTTGGAAACTATTTTCCCTTTTGGCTTACTCTGTGCTTTGAATGTTTCTTAAATATTTTGGGACAGTTACAGTGAGGTAAAGGAGATATTTGGATTTAGATGTCTACCCTTTCCCAAATAAGCAAGTCATTCTATACTTTCACCTCCCTCTCTTTTTATGTTCTGCTTTCTCTTAGCAAACATACAGCCTATGCAGGCTAAAGCTGGATTTGTCAGAGAAATTCATTCACTATAAATGAATCAACAAAATGAAACAATGAGGAAAAAAATGCCAAGCTGATTG